AGCGGCGCATCAAGCTGGGCGTGACGCAGGCCGACGTGGGCTCGGCGCTGGCCAACCTCAAGATCCCGGGCGTGGGCTCGCTCAGCCAGAGCACCATCTGCAGGTTCGAGTCGCTCACGCTCTCCCACAACAACATGATCGCGCTCAAGCCCATCCTCCAGGCGTGGCTCGAGGAGGCCGAGGGCGCGCAGCGCGAGAAAATGAACAAGCCCGAGCTCTTCAACGGAGGCGAGAAGAAGCGCAAGCGGACTTCCATCGCCGCGCCCGAGAAGCGCTCCCTCGAGGCCTACTTCGCCGTGCAGCCGCGGCCCTCCTCGGAGAAGATCGCCGCCATCGCCGAGAAACTGGACCTCAAAAAGAACGTGGTGCGGGTGTGGTTTTGCAACCAGAGACAGAAGCAGAAGCGGATGAAATTCTCCGCCACTTACTGAAGGGGGTGGGGCGGGTGGGCGCGGGAGGAGGGGCCGAGCAGGGAGCTGAACGGGCCTTTCGGGGCTTTTCCCGGGCCGCTTCCCCCCGGATCTGGCGTGTCCGTTATCCTGCCTGCGTTTGGCGAATCCATCCTCCAGAGCTCTCTTTCGCCCCCTCCTTCCCTTATGCTCTCCTGGCCCTCACCCTCTCCCAGCCCGGAGCACTGGGGTGCTGGGTGTGGACGTCGGAGAGGGAGCATTGGGGTGAGCTGGTAGCTGAGGGGGGAAGAAAGCGGAGCCTGGAGGAGGGGTTTTGAGGAGCAGGATAGTTCTGGGGGTTAGGGTGGGGGGGAGACTGGAAGGGTAGAGAAATGGACTGTTTTGGACCAGAGACATTTATCAAAATCTCCTGGGGACCAAGGAACTATGTACAAAAACAAACCTACCAACCACCAAAAAAAAAAAAAAACTAAACAAATAAAAGCAAACTAAAACAAAGCAGAACAAAAGCAAATAAAATATGCGTTAGAAATTTAACTCCAGGGAGCCATATTCTGCAGCTTCAATCCCCCCCTAAGGAAGAGAAAACAAGAGCACCACCATTATTACCACTGACCCAACCCTTCACAAATGAACTGAAAAACGAAAGCCAAATGAACTGGAAGGTGAGATTGTGGGTAGCTAAGCTAGTTGTTCTGTGTATTTAATTTAATTTTCCTCTCTCAGTCTCACCTCTACCCCGCCCACGTTCTCTTTGATTATTTTTTGTGTTCCAAAGAGATTGGATGGCTGCTCTCCATTGCCAGAAAGTGAGAGGGGGAACAGCTAAAGCGGGCGGGGGTATTATGGCTGTTTAGGTGGAATCCAAGTTTTCCACTGACTTAGCCTATATTCCTGTGGCCTGGGCCCATTCGGTGGGGGTGTTTAGGGAGAGAGGGGTAGTATTTGAGCTGACTAAAATGCAGAATTTATGGAGCTCCAAAAGAAATATTTTATTCTAGAAGAATAAAACAATTTTGACAAGTTCTTTTCATTTTTGCTCTTATATCTAAGATCTAGAAACAGACTATTTCAAAATCAGTGCCACCCCGCTCCATAGAACTTGCTTGCCCTTTCACTTTCACTTATTTTTCTGAGTGTAGTTTATTTAAAACTACCTACTGAATTTTATTTCCTATGGATTCAAATAGGTTAATGGGATGGAAAACAATAGGAGAGATACTGTGTCCCTTTTACTCCACAGAACAAGACTCATCTAGCTCTTCTAGGTACCCTTTTCTTCTCTCTTGGAGAACATGAAATGGTTGAAATATTGAGAAGTTTTTGCTTTCGGTTGGAGCAGGACTTGGCTGTGGGGAAAAATCAACTAAATCCCAAATGAGAGGAAGACAGAGTTAAAGTCCTCCATTTGTTTCAAAAGGGTCTGCATGTTGGGAGGGGGGGAAGCAGAACAACTGTGTTTCATTATTATTATTATTATTCAAAAGTAATTTATTGCTGGGGATAAATGTTGGGTAGCAAGAACTTTAATTTGCACTACCAGTCTCCCAAATAGAAAACCGTGTATAGTATTTCATAGTTATAATCAAGGTACTTTATGAACTGCTGATGGATTAAAAAATGAGAAAGACAGTTGAAGGTGGTTAGGTAAAATGCTTGCTTGGTGCACAAGATACTCTTTTGATCTCATGTGGGGATGGTTTATTACCATCCTTTAACAAGAACGTAAAAAATTGAAAACAAATGTGGAAAGAAAAGAAAAAAAAAAACAACCCTGCCATTTAACAAGACTGAAATCATGCATGACCTGAAAAGTGCAGAAAGAAACACAATTAGGTCTCACTCTGGTTAGGCATTATTTATTTAATTACATTGTATATCATTGTTTGCAGCGCAAACATTCTATGCATTTGAAACTGAGCACTAAACTGGGCTAGCTTTCTGATAGACCGTTTTGTGGATAGTGTGATTTCACAGTCTACTGCCTGTTTTCACCGAAAACACAGCATTCTTGTCGTATTCTTGTATTTAGAAAAAAAGGTAAAACAGGAAGATTATTGTAAATATTTTCTTTAATGCACACACTCACACCGTGGTTACAGACTGCCAGTGTTATACCTGTCCATGTATGTCTGCTGAGCTTTCTCCTTGGTTATGTCTGCTCTCTTACCGTTTCTCCTTCCCACTTCTATCAGAACCATTTATGTGCGCCAAAATACAACAGGGGGATGTGTCCCAGTACACTTACAAATAAAACATAACTGAAAGAAGAGCAGTTTTATGATTTGGGTGCATTTTTGTGTCTATACTAGGCCAAATCCTGGTAGAGCCGGTCAGCAAATGAAACTCAATTCAACCAAAAATACAGGGGAAAGGGTGAGAATGATGTATTTTTCTGCTGAATCAGAATTCACTTTCAGACAACTCATGTGAAAAGTGGTGCTCTGAATAAAATGAATTCTATATTAGTTGCCTGTGTTTATCCAAGTTTTCTTTAACTACAGAAATTCTTAAACCACAGCCCGCCCTGCCCCCCCCCCCTTCAGAGTGGTGGAAGCTAATAAATATCCAAGCACCTCCAAAATATTTAAATCAAGGTTCAGGGACAGAGGCATTTGGAGGTTTATATGTTTTGTTCTAGCCTAAAAACATTTCTTTAAAAGTATTGTAACTAAATGACCTTTTTTGGAAGTTATTACAAAAACCATCCACTGATCTGTCCCACCCTCATGACAAATGCCTCTGCTCATTTGGAACATTTAGTGTGCCACCTACTGCTCCAGAGGAACCAGAGATTCTTTATTTTTTGGTGACCTGGGACTAGATCAGATGCCAAATGTACAAAGTTTCTTAATAGCTGGGGTTATATCTTCTGAAGTCATCCTACTTTAGCCAAATCTTTTTAATTTCACCGGCAAATCTGTGAAACAAAGCATTTGATGTTCAACAAAGAATAGTACATTGAAAAAGCTGTGATTTTAAAGTTGTTAATGTTTTAAAAAAGCACTTAGAGGTATTTTTAAAAATAGATCTCTTCCATCAAAACTGATCGTTTTCTGTTATTGACTTGAAATGTCATCAAAGTTTTTAATAAAATGCATTTGTAAAGAAAACATGTTATTTTATAGAAAAGTATGACCGATTTCATTGTTGGAGAACCAGGAATGAACAGATGAAAAGATTTACAAAGGCTGCTTTAAAAAAAATCTGCCCCAAACGAAATGTTGCAAATACATTTGTATTATATAATGATGACCAATGTATGTAATAAGAACTTAAGCATTTGTTTTGTATTAAGTAAAACCCTCACCAAATGAAAAGAAGACAATATTATGTTAATAAAACAGATAATGAAAATACATGCTTTGCAGAGTTTCCTATTTTCTGTAGTAGGAAACTGTGCAAAACAAGATACGCTTTGCTATCTGGCGAGTGATTCTGTGTACTGCCGGCAGGAATAATAAGACAAGTTTAACTGTCAGTTCGTGAAGAAACAGACAAACAAGCAAATAAACGAATGTCCACCTGAAGGAAATGCAAAGGTTTGGCACGCAGCAATAGTTGGCCTTTCAAAGTTTTTTGGTTCTGAAGAGCGGAATTTTACTCTAAACGCATTAAAGGCACCAGTCAGGTGGAAATACTTGGGTTCTTTTAAAGAACAATCTCTAAATAAGTTGGAGAGAGTGGGGAATTGTTCTCCGTTGGGCTTCTCAGGAAATCCAGGTGGTGGAGGAGTAGGAAAGGCAAAAGAAAAATAAGCATAAAATGCACCTGCCATGTTTGTGCCAACCCTTCGGTTTGGAATTTTCTCTCTTCCCCAGTCCTAGGTTCGGGTCCTGCTCCTTTCCTTCTGTAGGTCTGAGAAATGATGTCCTCAAGACACACCAACTAACTTCTGAATACGTTTTTGTTTAATGCGTGTTCTGAAATTGCTCTCAATTTCTATCACACTCTCATAATTAAACCGTAGGCAACTGCTGCCGTAATTGTATCGATTGATTTTTTTTTTTTTTTTTTTACTTTCTTGAGAAAAACTATTCGGGTCCTGTTCCTACAAGTGGCTATGCCTAGAGAGGACAGGGCACCGCCCTCACTGTAGGACTCACCTGAGCAGCTCCCGCCCTTGGCCCC